TAAGGAAATAAGAATTCACCCTTGTAAAAAAATATTAGATAAAAGAATTTTAAAACATGTTTAAATGTTTGTGAATGTCAGAAATACACGACTTTAAGTTAGGGTTGTGTAATTCTGAATGAAAAGCCAAAAAATGTACAATTCAGCTGGAAATGAAACACAAAATTTTGGTGCTATATCGTAAAGTGTAACTTTCATAAAGGAGTTTAATACCATATTTATGTTAGAACTTTTTGCAGGGTTAACCGACTTTAAGACGATTTATTTGAAGTAAAAGTAATGGATATGACAATTTTAGTCCAAATCCAATTATAGTGAGAACATTTAAAAAACGTTTCGACAATTATGAAATCGTACCGGTCTCAGTACAAAATCGTAATTTTGTTAAAAATATTAAAAACATTGTCCAATAATGAACTTAATATTTGAATGTATACAATATCTGTCCAAAACGACAATTATACGCTTAGCTACGCTGTAGAAAAAGAAAAAAAAAACCAATTGTTGCATATTTAAAAGTCTATTTGACATTATAAGACTCCGGTACAGAGTTGCATTTTTCCTAGTTTCTTGAAGTAATTTGGCACAATAGCTTGTATTATAGCTAGAATGGTTGTTATTGAAAATGTGTACTTTTTCAGTACCTTCAATTTCTACCCCATATGCTAAGAGTGACGCTAATGTCAAACTGCAGGTTCCAAGCACTTACCAAATTAAGTTTAATTAAAAAATAAAAACCACTACCTCTACCCTGTACCAACATTTAAAATTCTGTTCACCTGAACCGAAATTGTACCAAATACAGGGTGAGTTAAAAAAACTGCAACAAAGTCAAAGATCATAATTTAAAATTTTTTTTTTAATTTTATTGAACGAAAGAAAAAAATGTCGGAAATAGCATCAAATTTTAGAATAAGATTAGAATTGTTCGAATTGGTCATACTTTAGCATGAATTATGGCCTCCACACGGCCAATGAATTCGTCACGCTCTGCCGCGAAGCGCCTGCTTTAGGTGATCGACACTTTGGTATTTTTAGTGCCAGCCTTGCTTTCAAAATACTCCAGACACAATGGTCCAACGGATTGGTATCAGGAGATTTTGGTGGCCATTGTGTGCTGGAAATAAAGCCCACCCATTCTTGGGTGGCGCGTGCTGAGTGCGATGGTGCTGAGTCCTGTTGGAATGTCCAAGGTCTGCGGCCAAAGTGTTTGGGTGCCCAAGGCTTTAATACACCCTCCAAAATATTTTCGCGATAATATCCGGCATTTATTCGGATGCCACGGTCGATTAATACGGGCGGAGAGCGACCATCGGCTGTTATGGCGGCCAACGTATCAATATTTGCCGAATGGAATATTGCTATATGTTCAGCTCACGAGCCATTGTCGGCCACTGCGACGCGGGCTTCTTTACTTTCGAACCATTTTTGCTGATGTTGCTATTTTCTCCCGTCCACTTCCCTGACGTCGACCGTGGCATCAGAATAAATGGGCCAAAATACCACAGGGCAACATTTGGGCAGCGTGTGACGGTTTCATTGGCCGTTTGAAGGCTATAATTTGAGCCAAATTGACAAATTCGAACAAATCTAAAATTAGTCTAAAATGTAATGCTATTTCCGACATTTTTTGCTTTCATTCCATAATATTTAAAAAAAATATGTAAAAATTATGGCTTTTGACTTTGTTGACAATGAAGAGACAAAAAAAATGTGATCGTATGATAGCATGAAATTACGTTTGTAATTGTACTATGATATCAACAAATTAAATCTTTTGCAAATCTTTTAATGTTAATGGTACTAAATTCAGTGGTTTTTAGTACTTTGGTACACTTATATGTCGAACGTACAAAAAAAATACACCTCCTCAGCGAACTTCTTTCCAAATTTCAAGGTCTCTATCTTTCAAATTGGCTTGTATTTAAATTTAATTTAAACTACTATAAAACCAAACCCCAACTCAAAATAACATGGACTCTGCCTTGATTTTAACGGTCGGACAGATATTCGTAAAAAATCTCAGAGATCTATTCATATAAATAATAACTAAATTGTCAGGATTGATATCAATGAATTCAACACAAACAAACCTCCTGGTATCCCATTACATTAATATTGAACTTTACAGGTTCTTTTTGGTACTATCACAATATTGTATCCGGCTACTTTACACTGAGCTTTCTAGAGAAAATAATTCATTGGCGCTTGATAAATACCGGTCTCATTGCGAGAGAAAGCTTTTGAACAGCCAACGTGTTGTTGTCCCCCCATGCCATGCCATGTGAATTTTAACACAGCTGTTGTACGCGAGTACGTAGAGTTGCCAAGAGTATTTAAAAGCTCTTATCAAGGTAAAAGGTCACTTTGTCTCGTGAAATTGAATGCATTTCTAACATAGCAACAAAAAATAATATGTAATGAGATAATAATGATCGTTTGATATTAATTTTCTGTATTCATGCAGTTGCCTGGTTACTATGGCGATAGTAAACTCAAGTGTGCATTCCCTTCATGTGATAATGCCGTTTGCAAAAATATTAATATAAATTTATCTATTCATCGTAGGGGTTTCATGATGATTTCACATAGAAATAACATTTTTAACGAATGCAAAAATTCCATTTTCAATGAAATTAATAAAAGTTTTCCAAGTTTTGACTGAGTGAAGAATTTGTATCATATGTCACCATTTTGTATATGCCTTTACCCACCCATAAAAAGCATACGTGCTTAAGACATGTCCCCAATTGTGTATTGCATCTAACACTCGAAGCGCCTTTAAATTTCTTGTAGATTAAAATTAGAATTCCGTTTCCGAATCAAACTCGTCTTAGTTCTGAATGACTTACAAAACATACGGCAGTCGATTACATTACAATAAAACGTGAGAACTACCAGCACAACACAGTCGACAAATTCGTTTGATGTGCCATGAATTAATTACATGCAACAACTGCTATTAGCTACCACAACTCGTGACGTTGCGGCTTCTACATAAAGTTAATGTAATGTGGTAAAATGGAACAAAAATAAACTACATTTCATAGACATGTTTCTGAAGCGTAAAATCGTGAATGCTATAGATAGTTGGGGTTATTTACCGTGTTTTATGACGTTAATTTGTGGTTGCAACTTCCGGCCATACAAAGTTAGATTGTGCCCCTATTGTTGTTATTTGAAAAAAAGCAGAGTTGAATCTTTAATACCCATTATCCCAGCATAAAATTCTATCTCGATTTAGATTTGTCCATACGAACTCAAGATGTACTGTAATCGGCCAATATTTATATTCGAACCCATAGTTTTGCACTGAATAATGTGTCGTTCAACATTTACGCTTCCATGTGGCAGGGATTTAACTTGGTAATTATTTTAAATATATACCTTTTCAGGTAATAATTCGAAACATTTAAATTGTAATTCGTAACAATTCATTTGTAATTTGAAACTTTCAATTGAAGTTCTAGAGTTCCATTTGTAATTCGAAACATTCCAATTGTAATGTGAACATTTTATTTGTGATTCGTAAAATTCCATATGAAATTCGAATTATTTCACCTGTCAATTCGACGATTTTATTTATTAACTCAAGATCAAATATGAAGACAAGGAAAAAAATGTTTGCGATTTTTTTACAATTACAAACTATTTGGTTCAGACTCCCTTATTTGACAAATCATATTCTTAGAGTTTATAAACTCTTTCAGCTAGAAAAACTTCCTAAATGAGACAAATATTTGTTATTGTCACCTCATTTTCCTAATTTTATAGTTGAACTAGAATGCCCTCAATTATTCATAGAGATTTTCAGTCAGTTTTGTACTTTGATTTCCTGGCCGTCCAACGCCTACTGGTGAAACACTGCGACGTTTAGCCGCTCGCTTCGATGCTATCAGGCGTGGCAGACTCCGGAGTATATCACTGCAGTAGCAGAGAATGTCAGTGTCGTCGCTCCGTCGACATCCACAAGACGAAATGCCACGCAAATTGGTATCAGTCGAGGTCTTTACAGCGAATTTTCTCACAAGATTTGAAGAAGTTTCCGTACAAAGTCCAGATGGTGCATCAGCTGTTAGGTACTGAATGCCAATCGCGTCTAACATACACTCAAGCCATCTTAAATCACCAGAAAGAAAAAGATGATTTTTCATCAAAAACAATCACGAGTGATGAGTCCAATTTCCATTTTGGCAAAATTTTCGCTTCTGGGGCACTGAAAATCTGTAGGAGTCATCGGACCTTTTTTCATCGAAGACTTCGCGGGTCAAGCGGTTACTATGAATTGTGTGCTCTAAAAAGAAATGACCAACGACTTCTTTTTACCGCAATTTGATGAGTTGGGATTGGAAAACATGTGGTTCCAACAGGTGGACCGGCACACCCTGCACGTGACACAATGGATATGCTGAAAGATATATTTCCCGGGCGCCTAATCTCCCGTTTTGGCGATTTCCCTGGCCACTCCAGACTTCTTGTTGTGAGGCTTTTTGACGTCGCGGTTCTATGCCAACAAGCCCCAAACTCTTTCAGCTCTTAAAGACAATATCCGACAAGAATGTGAGAACCTAACGCTGGAAATTGTGGCCAAAGGAATGGAAATGCCATAAAAAGGGCTTAAATGACATCAAATTCTCGACTTGATGTAAAAAACTTAAAGACCAAATAAAAATAATCCACAAGAAGAATCAAAGTTTTTCCTTTTTTTTAATTTACAGCCAAAAAATCGGAAGTTTACTTTTGCGCCGCCTTGTATTGGCTAAGTTGAAGATCTACATCTCAAAAAGTACGGAATTCCCATTTAAGAACTTATATTCGCAAAGACTACCTAACGTGTTCTAATTTGATCGATAGTTGATATTTGGGTTATGACGCTATTTCTCATCAACTAACTGATGGTATTTTTTGTGGAGCTTGGAAATTTTAAATGTACCCTTGCAAGCGAAATATTTAAATTCGCATGGCAACCCTTTTTTGATTATTTGCTCACATAACGAGCAGCACCATGTCGTTTGGCCAAATAAATCTGTTTTCTTTTAACCATAACAATGGAGTTCATACTGAAACAAAAACTACGTAATGATGAATAATACGAACCTTTAATAGATTTGATCCCACTCACCACCGTAACTGACAGACAGGTAAAAACAAAAAGAATAAATTGAAGACCACAAAAAAAAAACGAAAATACGAAACACTGACAAATGAACAACAAACCAACGAACCACAACAAAATAAACTGTTCCAAATGTGGGGGGACATCACAGTGACTCGCTCACTCATTCTCCCCCATTCGCCAGCGAGAGACTTAATCGGACTATATACGGTTGACTTCTCAACAGAGTTCCGCTAACCGTCAAGTTGTGCGGTGGTTGTTTTCAGTCGGTCGGTCGCTTTATCGTTTTTCATCAATGTTCGGCAAAGTGTTCCGCTGCAATTCAATATATCGTGCCACCAGTGAAATGGGGAAATTTTAGCAGTTTTTTTAACGCTGTTGTGTCAGTCATAGCATTGGTGTTTCAGTGCGAAGTGTTGTTAGAAAACCAAAAATATGAATAAACAAAATGTCATTTTTGTGAAATTCAATTCATAAAAAAGAGAAGAATGTAAAAATCCCATTCTCGTGAAACTGAACAAGAATTCTTATTGGAATTATCGATTAAACAAAGCTAACGTTACAAATAAGCTATTACAAAAACGTCCATCCGTTCGTATTACGTGCATGTGTTTGTATATCCGGACAATCAAGTATCACAAGATTTAAACGGTTCAATTCTAAACCAAAAGCAATTAATGCAAGCTAAAGCTGCAAGATTTACAAATAAACTACCTCTACCCTCCACATCGTCCAATATTTTAAGCATGGACTATTTACAAAGTCTTTATGCCCGCATAATGGGTATTAATTTCCAGGAAATTGGTACCTTTGCTTTTTCATCCAACGACTCCATGTAAGTTTCAACTTCTTCTTTGTTTACTACCAAATGATGTAATTTGGCCAACAACTTTTATTTTTTGCCTTCTTTTTTTCTTTTTGGCTGTTCTTGATATCTGCGTTTGGCGTTCTCAACACACGCACACAAAATGACAACAAACAAACCAACAAAAACTTTATTTAGACCACGCAAAGTTGTTGCCTTTGGCAATGTTTTACTCGACCAGACAGCCCATTTGCCAGACACCCAATTGTTGGAACGCTACAAATTATCTTTGAATACCAGGGCAGAACTAGATGTGGAGACCTTAGCCAAGGTGACAACCGAGGCCATCAGCGACAATAAGTAAGTGGTGGATGCTTTCATTGATGCTTTTATTTGTGATGTTTGAAGTGTTGTTCCTCTTCTTCGTTTCTTTGCAGCAACCAGCAACAAGATCCCCATTTGGGCGGATCCGCTTTAAATACAGTTCGTATACTCAAACGTTTGGGCACCGAGCCAATGTTTTTCGGTGCCGTCGGTGATGATAAACATTCCGTAATTGTTGAGGATCTGTTGAAAAAGGATGGCATGGATAATGTGTAAGTAAAAAAGATGAAAAAAGCTCCTAAACTTTAGGTAATCTGTCGAAAAGTGTTTTTTGATATAACGTACTTCAGCAAGGACCAGATTTGAATGATACAACTAATTTTCAATGTAGCACTGTGAGGAAAACTGTCCTATATTAGCTATTGAATTCAATAGGAAAATGAGGTAAAATACTTCAAATAAATAAAATCTTATAACAAGAAGTGTGCCGAAAATGACTGCTCTGGGACAAAAACCTTCAAAGTTAAAAAAATCGGGGGGGTTACTGTTAAAGTGAACAGAAAAGTTCACGCAATGAGATTCATTTTTGTATAGGCTTCGCTATCTTTTTCAGCTCGTGCTTATTTTGTGTATGGTAACACTTAGCTGATGTAATGTTGCAGAATTGCGTATGAATTTGGAAGCACTAACTGTCAGCTACGTATGTAAACAAGCAAAATTGCCGAACAGAAAACCCGCACGCATATGTACATTGAAAAGTCGATGCACCCAAAACGAGTCACCGTTTGGTGTAGATTTTGGTCCAGAGTCATAATCGGGCTATTTATATACTACACCACAAGGTGGTCAGGGTATTATGTCTTTGTGCATTTGTTTGTAACAGGCAAAAGGAAACGAGATAGACCCATAGTTAATTTTGATGATCTGCATAGAATCACATTCTGAGTCGATTTATGCATGTCCGTCCGTCCGTCTGTCCATGTATTTTTGTAAACAAAGTACAGTTCGCATTTATTGCCCTATCCAGATGAAATTTTTCACAAATCATTTGTTTGGCCCAAGGACGAACCCTATTGAAATTGGAGATAGTCAAAATTTAGGTATAGTTCCCATATATATCTTGGTCCGATTTGCCTTTTATTGTGCACCAAACGTGTAATATCAGTCCGAAAAGTATGGAATTTTGCACGAACGATCAGATTGGACCTGAAAATAAGTATGCCAAATTTGATCGAAATCGGTTCAGATATAGCTATAGCTCCCATATATATTGTTCATCCGAATTGTTATTTTTGTTCTCCGCAGCCGTAATATGCACTCTGTAACAACAATATTTGGGGAAATATATCAAATACAGTTCAGAAATATCTTTGCTAAATTTTATCGAGATCGGTTGAGATTTGGATATAGCTCCCATATATAACTTCGTCCGATTTACCTTTAATTGTGCATCAAAGTCTAATATTTGCCCAAATTAGATGAAATTTGGCAATTACGACCGAATTGAGTCTAGAAGCTGTATGTCAAATTTGTTCATCCGATTTGTCATATTTGTTACCCACAACCGTAATATGCACTCCGTAACAACAATATTCAGGGAAATATATTAAATACAGCTCAGAAATATCTTTGCCAAATTTTACCGAGATCGGTTCAGATTTGGATATAGCTCCCATATATATCTTTATCTGATTTCAAATTAATTTTGCACCAAATGGGCAATACAAGTCTGAATTTAAAAGATACAAATGCTTCGGCATATTTAGTCCTTTGAACTTTAAATTATAATTATAATCATAGCGTGCATGATTGAATTCTCCCATAAAAACTTTTAATTGTTATGCGCAGCTCTACTAAATTAGCAAAGTGGTGTAGGGTATCATAAAGTCGGCCCCGCCCGACTTTAAGACTTTCTTTACAGGTTTTTCTTCGAAAATGAGTAAGAAGTGGTCGTTACGTTAAGAATCCATGTTGAACGAATATTCCATCAGAAAACAGCAAGAAGAGGAATTCGGCAACATTTGGTTTCAAAAGGATAGCGTCATGTCACACAAAAAATGAATACATAGCTAAAACCTTTTTATGGAGTGTTTATTAAAATCATGTCATACCAAATATGGTCGTTTTTTGAATGGGTATTATGGCTTCGAAGCAGCTATAATATAAGGGCGAAAGCAACTCATATATAGAGGAGGAAAATCGATCCTATTTTAACTGATATTACGCTTTTTAGGCACAATAAACGTGAAATCAGTTGAAGATATATGTATATGGGAGCTATATACAAAACTGAGCTCACCTCTATAAAATTTAACTGAGTTATTTCTATGCAGTATTTGATAGATCGGGTCAAAAAATCGTTGTTGTGAAGAGCATTTCACGGGTGTGAGGAACTTAACCAAAATTTAAATAGGCTGAATTCGTTCGTATGTTCCAAAATCCATTCACTTTGCGCATATATTAACCATTTCGTGCACAATAAACTTGTAATCGAGTAAAGATATATGTATGGGAGCTATATCCAAATCTGAAGCGATCTCAATAAAATTTGGCAAATGTATTTCTGAGCTGTATATGATATGCTTTCACGAATATCGTTGTTATGGAGTGCATATTACGGCTGTGGAGAACACAAATAACAAATCGGATGAAAAAATATATATGAGAGCTATAGCTATAATCTGACTCGATTTTCAACAAATTTTATAAACGTGCTTCTTAATTTGGTCGTATATACCAAATTCTATCCCATTTGGACTAGTAATAGGAATTTGGTGCACAATAATAGGCAAATCGGATGAAGATATATATGGGAAATTTGTCTAAATTTTGATAGATTATCTTAAATTTCAATAGGACCAACCAAATAATTTGTACAAAATCTCATCTCAATCGTGCAATAAATGCGATTCATACTTTGTTTACAAAAATATATAGACAGACGGACGGACATGCATAAATCGACTCAGAATGTAATTCTGAGTTCCGAAAGGAACTATGTATGGCTCTATCTCGCTTCCTTCGCTATGTTACAAACAAATGCACAAAGACATAATACCCTGACCACGGTGTGTTGTAGGGTATAAAACAATGTGAAGTCTAAATAACAAAATATAGCGTATTCGATTGGTAAGATATGCAGACTAAGTTTTATCAAATTAAAACCGAAATTGTGGCTGAAACTCTTTAGATGTCGGAAATTACGGGTAACTTAATAAAGGACTATATAAAGTAACAAACCTTTTCCAAAGTAGCTTTGAAAGTTTGATTAAAATCCCTGCCAAATTGAAAGTTGCATGTCTCAAATATCAGCCCTCCACTTATTTTGGCACTTCTCTGGTAAAAATAACTCAAATTCGAGCGGGAGTATTCCTGGGAGTAGAATTCTTGCCGAGCATTCTTTTAGTCTTGTAAACAACAGCAGCAACCGAAAGAAACCCAAATAAGTTGAAAAGCATTATTCCACCGGGCCATAGCTTCCAATGTTTTTCTCTTATTTGATATTGTACACGATCATTCGTAAGATATCCATTTAAAATGAAAATTTGAAAAATATATTCCAAATAGATCCATTATTACAAGACCAAAATGCCAATACCGAGGGGGTACCATAATGAAGACAATTTTATAAAAAAAAATTGACTAAAATTAAGAAAATGTCGAATATCTGGTGGTAATTTATGTGAGGGCTATATGCAATCGTAGACCTTTTGACATAATTTATCGTCAGATTGATAAGTGCATATTAAGAACTTTACACATCGAATTCCAGACAAATCTATTGAAAAATCATAAAAATTCCGAATATCGTAAGGAACCGTTATATGTGGGCTATACGTTATCGTTGACCTATATAGGCAATTCTCTTTCCAGAAGTAAAGTACCCGAAATGTATTTCAAATAATTCCAATTACAAATCGTCTTAGAATTTTACGCTAATCAATCATTATTTCGATGAGTTACAAACGCAATGACAAACTTTATATACCCTTCCATACTATGTATGTGGAGGGTATAAAAAGTGTTGCTAAAATCATTAAAATACTGAGTCCCTGAATGTACTGTTGTATGGGCGCTAGAAAAAAAGTGAACAACAAACGAAGATCCCTTTACAAACTATAAATACACAAACACAACCGTTTAAACTAAATTGGCTTAAATTGCTATCCGGATCTATCGTTTTATATGAAGGCTGTAGCGAAATTTGGATGCATATAGACAATGTTCTGCCACAGGAAATAGCACCCATTACAAACTCTAAAAGTAACAAGTAAAAAAGATATTACTTTTTTTACCCTTCACCATTTGGAAAGTAACTCATCAATAACAATATGTCTGTAAATGCCGAAATTCCAGTATTCGGAGGCATGTGCCACATCTTTTATAAGTGGCAAATTTCAAACAATTATGTAAAAAAGATGGCTACAATCATCAAAACACCGAATATCTGGAGAATAGGGGCTATAGAAAAACGTTGACTCATATAGAAATGGTTCTATATAAGCAGAATCTATATACTTGCTAGTTAGTCATAAATCGAAGGACAAAAAAATCAGAATACATGGATCTTGACTCAACTACAATATGCATTCATATTTCCCTTTTCTTAAGTTCTTTGTTAAACTTCTCTGTAAATATTTGTATCTTCCTGTAAATAAGACAAAGAAATATTTTTATTCGACGACAGACAATTGACACATCAAGATCATATGTTTATGAATATAAAATCAGTCATCCAGTGCATTGGTATTTAAATACCTACAGATATAGATACAAATTAAGTCACTGTGAAACTCTAAATGGGATCGTAGCAAGTCAAAATATTCTAAAAAAAAGTATTTGTCATATAATTGTACTATAGGTCCTAGAAGACGTCAAAAGTCTTACCTAAACGGCAGGATTTCATTTATATTCAAAAACAAATCTTAGGTTAAAAACTTTTTACTTTGTGTGAGTTTGTCCAGAAATTTCCAACAAAGCTTCATTTTTGGAAGGACGACGTCAAAGACAAAAATATTCTTCATCGAATTTCACTATAAGTTACTAAAGAAAAGAAATCTCTATTTTCATTGCATATCAAAAAATATTTGCATCAAATATTCTCAAAATATTCTCTCATTATACCCCACAACACTATGTGTTGGGGATATTATAAGATTGATTGGACCAATAATTATGTAACACCTCGAAATATTGGTTTCCCACATAGAAAAGTATATATGGATCTTCCTATCTCGCCTAGCTGAGTCGATCTAGCTATGTATGTCCGTCT